TCTAGTCCCACTATTCGGTTTACAGTATACTCTCTTAGACTGCTGATTGGTTGCCGTCAGTGGTTCTAAATTAGGAATGGCTATATCCGAGTTATAGGATTTTCTGACCTTCCCGACAAGCCCGTATATCGCAATAGGTGCCTTTCAGATTGAAAACACCAATAGTTTGAAATTATAAAGAAAAATATTAATTGTTTGTTTGTTTTTGAATTTCGCTCAAAGCTACACGAGGGCTATCTGCGCTACCCGTCCCTAATTTAGCAGTGTAAGACTAGAGGGAAGGCAGCTAGTCGTCACCACCCACCGCCAACTCTTGGGCTACTCTTTTACCAACGAATAGTGGGATTGATCGTCACATTATAACGCCCCCACGGCTGAAAGGGCGAGCATGTTTGGTGTGACGGAGATTCGAACCCGCGACCCTCAGATTGCGAGTCGAGCGCACTAACCACCTGGCCATGCCGTGCCAAAAATATTAATCATTTGATATTTTACCTCCGGATCTTTTTTTTTTTAATCTTATCATTTGTTTAGAAAGAGATAAATACAATTTGGGTTAATTCCAGTAGCAAGGAAAAGATGTCCCGGGATGCACCATCGTTGACGAGTTAGTAAACTGCGTTATACTTACTTTTAAAACAAGAATAAAAAATGTCAATTTTATTCTAAGTTATTATTTTTTTCCAAGGACCAATTACCAACACTGTTTGAAATATGTGCCATTTCTTTTTATTTCTTCTCCAGTCAACAGTCACCACTGTATCGAAAACATGTGATCCCGAGATAGCTATTTCAAATAAACTGTTTGGAACCATAAATTTATCTTAGATGGCGCTTTTTGTTCTCCGTTCATAGAAAGTATTCCTTCAAGTTCGCAGGAGCGCAATTTAAGACTCGCAAATATGTTTGTCGACCGCAGTTTCTCTTTAAGATAAATGATAACACTACTGAAGCTCTACGGATGTTACATTTGGTTTTGCGTGTTTTTTCTGCGGTAGTAAAATTTGTAATAAATGCGTCTTGGCAGACAGGGGAAACGCGTCGGACGCAAGACGGCGAAAGTCATCAATATGACCGAAATGCTTTGCTACGTCACTCAAAAGAGGAGTACAAGTATGATGGCGTACCCTGGGCGCTAAAAGAGAAGTACAAGTATGATGGCGTATCCTGGGCGCTAAAAGAGAAGTACAAATATCATGGCGTACCCTGGACGCTAAAAGAGGAGTACAAGTATGATGGCGTACCCTGGGCGCTAAAAGAGGAGTACAAGTATGATGGCGTATCCTGGGCGCTAAAAGAGGAGTACAAATATGATGGCGTACCCTGGGCGCTAAAAGAGGAGTACAAGTATGATGGCGTACCCTGGACGCTAAAAAGAGGAGTACAAGTATGATGGCGTACCCTGGACGCTAAAAA